GACCAGAACAAGAACCGACCTCTCAATGCAAAGTACAAGATGGCGCAAACGGAAGACTTAGATACCAATGATCCGATCAATCAATGTTGCAATGCAGCCCCGAACATACATCATCATCATCATCCCAGAGTGTGAAAGGGGTCTGGCGCTTCACACAGGAAGACTGCGCCAGCCCCACACATTCACAGACGAAGATGAGGGGGGTTAGACGAAGAGGAGGGAAARATGGGAATGTCGTCAACACCAAGTCTTCGGCACARGCCCAAATAGTCCCTCGTCAAAATGTCTRAATCCCAAATGTCGAGTCTGTATCCAATGTCGTCAAGTCTCCAGTCRTATCTCTCTCTCGTAGTCCACAGATAYTGAGAAGTAGGCAGCRAGAGGGGAAGAAGAGATGGTGGACTTAGAAGAGGAAGAAGAAGAACTCTCTCTCTCTCGCAGTCCAGTACTAACCTGTGAAGGTGGCGCTGTGATGCAGGTACCTCGAAGATGGAGCTGGAGCGATGGYGCCACAGGTAAGTACCACTGGCCTCCGCCAGTCACCTCTCTCCCATATCACTAYTACAACTACTGCTAWAGCGCCCAGCGTTGAAGACTACAGCTATGGCGCCCAGCGCTAAAGACTACCACTAGCGCTATCTGCCCTGGGCAGYGCTCCTCCGAGTGCTGCTCCGCTATCCTGAAGACTACACCTGACTACTGTCTGACTACCTACCCGTGAAGTGCCTGGGAAGCTCCTATGTACTACCACGGGTGCCTCCTGACTCGTGCGAGCAGTCCAGGAGGCTGCTCTTGCCAATGCCGAGGGAAGGCAGGGGCTGCAGCTGCAGCTCCTGCTCAAGCTCGTGAGGAACAGGCTATTTCTGGCCTGTTCCGCATCCCTGTTTATGTGCCTGAGTCTTAGGGGCGGTCGAAACAAGGAGGGCCTGAAAATGGCCCTCCGTTTCAGGCTGGAAAAACTCTGGGTCTGAAAGACCCAGAAATAGGCTGAAACGGAGTAGGGCCTGCAGGCCCTCGTTTTTCAGCTTTCAGGCTGAAACGACCTGAGTCTTCGTCTTGTCGCGGCCGTGATTGTTGCGCGGCCGGCCACCATCCTGGGCAGCTGCCAACACTTCACCCTCGTTTGGTGTTGCAGCCTCGGTAGAAGTAATGCAAGCCACCTTTGGCTTGGGCTGGGTGCTGCTCGTCGTCGCGGAAGATCGGCCGGCGTTGCTGGCTTCTACATTCGTGAGAATGATCCGTGACGCTGTGCTGAAGAGCTTGTCCGACGTGTCGAGTGTCTCTGCAATCTGCGTCAGCGCGTTTTGCAGGGCTGGACACGAGCGCATGATGAACAAGTGCTTGATGTCGCGGAATGCGAGCGGCAGGTCAGGTGTGGAGGCGAGTCTTTGGAACTCGGTAATCCAGTCCTGACTGAGCAGAGTGTTCTGATGGAGCTTGTTGAGTTTCTCCATCGCTTGCAGGTCGGGCGGCTCCACTTGGAATCTCTTGTGCCAGGCGTCGGTCAACTTCTGCCAAGTGAGCTTGGTGTGCAGTTCCGACACTGCTACGCCGTGGCTGGTCAATATGTTGTCCAGCCATGCTTGACATGCACCACCAGATCGGTGGTACAAGCACGCATGTCGATCATTGTTCAGGACATGGTGCATGTCGATCATTGTCCAGGACATGGTGCATGTCGAGCCTGAGAGTGAACTGTCGCCACCACGGGATCGGTTCCGTCTTGGACTGATCGCAGAAAACTGGAATGTCATCCAGTTTGGGTGGGCGTCAGGAGGATGCGGCCGCAGGCGTCACGGTAGCAGCAGCCTGGACCTGCGTCTCCAACTGCAAGTTCGTTGCTTGCTGCGACGTCCGGAAATCCTGATGCACATGCTTAATGTTGCTGACGTCATCCTCCAAAACTTGCACACGGGTGATAAGGTTGGAAGGCCTTGCAACTGCTACAGCAGCTGGCTGTTTCTCCAACGCCTGCAGCCGTGCAAGCATCTGGTCCACTGTCTGCTGCAGGTGAAGGGTTTCCTCTTGCTGCAGAGTGCAGGTGGCCACGAGGTCGTGGGAGATCTGCGCAACGGCTGACAGCCCTTTGTCAGTCTCCGGGGCCCCGTCTGCAGATGCCATTTCTACCCAATGCGCGGTCTCATCGCCGATCACGGTCTCCCGTGTGAACAGTCGTTCCCGCTGGCGTGACCGGTGTTCAGCTGCCGCCTGCAGGTCTGCCTCCTCTCGACGAAGTCGGTCCTGTTCCTCTTTCTATCGCTTGGCCTCCTCTTCTTGCTCAATCTGATTACGTTCCTTGGCCGCGGCGGCGGCCCTATCGTTGGCCTCCTGGATGAAAGCAGCCAGGCGTTCCTCATAGGCCAGGAGGGATTCTCCCGCCTTCCGGTCCATGGCCTTGGTCTGTGATCGAGTGAGCGGTGGCATGCACTGTTGTGCCTTACCCGGACTGGAGGGGGAGGAACAGGTAGGCAGCAGACAAGTGGGAAGGATCAGACAGATCCCAAATTGAACAGTTTCCCTATTCAAAACAAATAATAATAATTATTGATAAAAAAATAAATCAAAAATTTGTAAGAAAGACTGTCCAATCCCACTGAGTACCGAAGGTGATGCAGAAAGCAATTGTGAACCTTCGGTGCTCGGACTGCAGAGAATCAGAAAAGCAGAATCTGTACAACTCAGAGTAGGTGTTACATACTTCAACGAGTATGGGTAGAACCAAAGATCAACCAATATAGGATGAGCATTTATGCAGCGGAAGTCTGATAACGAACTGACTCACATAGACTGACTCACATGGACTGACCTACATGGCATCACTCCACACACATACAATCATGAGATGGTGGGGTCTGGGTCATGCATAGACGATACCCAGATCCCGTACACACATACACAGATGAAAGGTGGGAGGAGAGACGAAGGAGGTAGGAGGTAGATCACACCGATAGGTCACAAGATAGAGTCCGGTAGGTCTCCGAAATAGTAGTCCAGAATGTCATATAACAAGATCAAAATGTCGAG